AGTCAGGTTTTAATTGCTAATTACCAATTTAAACACTTTACAATACCTTATTTAGAAGCTGTTAAATTAATTGTTGAATAAAATGCAAACATATTTAAAAATCAGTTTTTTATGTAAAGTTTTTTGTTTTGGACGACTTTTTGTTAGGATGAATACTAGGCCTTAACAAAAAAAATGTTTTTATCTGGGGTGTCAAAAATTGTTATATGGCTTAAGAGAAGGTCGATTTATAAATCAAACAAGAAATCTATCGGGGTCACATAACCTATAGAGTTTAGTATGTGTTTCGTTTACGTATCCATGATTCTGGTACGGTTTCTGTGACACCCCTGTGAACATTATTATTTAATAATTAAGGTTTGAACATTTAAAGAAGTGAAAACTGTGTTTGGGTGTTTTATATAGCCACATATTTTCTCAGTGACCGACCCCAAATAGAAAGAGCACAAAAGGTCGAGAGGATCGGTGCATATAGTGGCCGCTTGGTGTTGGCGTTGCAAGTGCGTTTATGGTTTGATGATTTACAGTCACGCCCATAAATATTCGCACGGCCAGTGTGCACATTATTCGCGATTTATGCCGTTTCGTTCATAACTCATGCAACAGCACATGTAAAATTTATGCAATTATTAATTTAACACGCCTGCAACACTGCCACGCCCGCACCCATGCGACGCCACCCACTGAACCCCACCCTTCATCGCTCTTATTTGAATCCGATTCCATTCCGGAGGGTTTATCACTGGGCACGGAACTAATATAGATCTAATCTGAGCCGGCTAAACGTTTCGCGGGTATAAACCGGACAGACTGTGGCAGCTGGGGAGAACGATATCGTTAGGGAGGAGTTCCAGAAAAATAAGGCACCAAAGGGTCAGTGATGGGAAAGCTTCTATATTCAATTGAGGTACCAAGCCAAAATGCGATTTGCCATTGAAATATTATATATAAAAATTAATAATTTAGTCTACAGGATTCGTCTTAGCGGAGTTCCTTCAATAAATCTGAATTAATTTGCCACTCCATCAATTTTCATTTATTTATTTATTATTAACTTATTTGTATATAGCTGGAACTAAAGGGTTTTAAAAATAAGTACCTAACACAGCGAACCAGGTACTTTCCATCTCTGGTAAGAGCTAAAGCTTTGGTTCTCATCCACCCGCATTGGACCGCCATAATTTACTAGACGAGCAAAAACACTCACGAAAAATAATAAATGTCCAATATGTTAGCCCGTCCTGGCAACACATAGCGAAGCCAAAAGAAAGCAACACCCAAACATCCTGCCTGCACAAAATCGACATCAGTGACAGTGGCAGTAGCAACAACTAAAACAAAAAGACAACAATTCTCAGGGACTGAAAACCTTGAATACCCTTGACTAGAGTAATTACCATTTTTGATAAATTGCGAAGCTGTGAACAATTTTTTTGCAGAGGATATAACTTTATATCTTACAATATCCGAGACATAATGAAACTTATGTTTCAGTTCCCCAACGTAAAGATTGATTACTTTATTTAATGTTTTTATATTAACATAAAAACATTATATTGACATAAAAAAATTAAACTATTTTTTATAAAGGAAGAGCTTTCTAATGTGTAAAATATTTTGTACAGCGTTGTAAGTATTGACCAAAACCCTATGTTAGGGTGCTCCATAAAACATGTTTATTCGGCATGTGTGAACCGAAGGTTGATAAGAAGAAGGGAGGCGGACTGCCTCCGAGGGGGTGGATTTGGATGGAGTGGGCAGAAGCTGGGGCCACCTGCTAGGCTCGAGTGCATGGACTGAAGTTCCATTGCGAACATGGGCAGCATGTCGCTCCATTAATTTGCCATAAAACAGAAGTGGACTAAAATTTGTTTGTCGTTGTTATTGTCCGAGCAAAAAATTACAAATGGTTCAGTACCAGGAGAACCAAACGGATTCTGGTGGGGGTGAGTGGGAACTAGTTGTGGGGTCAAAGTTAGGGTCTGCTTATTTATGGCGCAACCACTTTTGATGTTCTGTTAAATGTCCGCAATGACACATTGAGGACATCCCCTATTTGTACTAACGTACATGCCTGACATAGAAGGACATTGGTGGGGTGTTGTGATCTGCTCCTCATTCCTAAATGGATGTGTCAGGATTTGAAAACCATCAGTAATATCTCCCTAAAATGTCCTCCCGATAAATGTAAATAAATAAATAACAATGCAACATTTTAAAATATATTACTTATACGCAGAGTTGTCTTAAGTTAAGAAAAATATGGGTATCTAGTTTTAAGAATGTACACTTTCTCATAAAACATATTTGTTTAAGTTAACTAAAAAAAGTTCCTTTAAATAACAATACCTTCAAATGTTTAGTTATTGTCTACAACATTACTCATACGCCAAGTGGCGTTATGGATTTTTAATAGGGTCTTGCCATTAGATAAGATCGTACCGAGTAATTAACAATTTTATGTTGATCCAATCTTGGTGTTTCCCTATTAAACTTTTTGATACTTGATAAAACACAATAAAATCAACTTCCATTTATGTTTTTTCCAAGCGCTGTATATATACATAGGTAAGCCCGACCTCAACATAGCCACTCCGATGATAGCTTATCAATATATGAACACCGGCCACATCTGGTGCTTACAAAATTACATTCAGCCAAATGCTAAAATCGTATAATAAAATGTAAGTACATGTTACATAACTTACATTTTCAAATAGAACTAGTCAACAAATTAAGTAAGTTATATACAAAGTTAATCTTGATATAGATAACAAATATTATAAAGTGACTAAAATTCTTATCTCTGTCCTAGTCAAATCCAGAGTACTACTTTACTACACTGCACTACAAATGTAAACAAACACATGAAAACAGCTGTGTTCAAGTGGTGATAGTATTTGACCTTTAGTGAGGGTGGGTGTGGAGTCGATTAAATTCCTATCGCTATCAGCGTCTCCTACGTCACAGAGACTGATAACTGATAACCGCGAATCGAGAGGTCCGCTAGTGTAAGGTTTAAAATATTTAATTCAGTTGCGAATCGGCTTTTCAAGCGTCTGGTTATTGGTGCGCATATTTAGTTCGATCGAAGCGAGGAAATGGCAAAGGATAATCTTACGGCAGTGCTGCATGGCATTGAGGACATGCGATTGGTAAGCTTAAAAAGGATGATGACGCGTTCATTTTCTCAGCATACCTAATCTTCTAAATAGGAACAACGTCCAATTCCTGAGATAGCCGATGATGGTGAGTTATATATGGCTTTGATTTAATTAAAGTAATGGAAATAAACTTTCCGTTCGTATTTTTCACAAGTTACACGTTCAGGTCCATATAGTATTTCTTATCACTGATAAGCTATCAGATTCATGTCCCACTGCCTTACACAAAACGATTCAAGGTTAAATTTACATGATTACACGAAAATATTTGCGGAGATAAAAATAACAAAAACAGCTTACTTATATAAAGTCAACAGTGCTCAACATAGTTTTTCTGTTATTTTCCCCTATCTAGAGGTTCTGCTGGCCATGGACAGTGTCGGCATTTGCGGCTCTGATGTGCACTACCTTGCCCACGGACGAATTGGTGACTTTGTGTTGACCAAGCCAATGATTATTGGCCATGAATCCGCTGGCGTGGTTACGAAGCTGGGCAAGAAGGTGACCACTTTGAAGGTTGGCGATCGTGTGGCCATCGAGCCCGGAGTACCCTGCCGCTACTGCGCCCACTGCAAGGAGGGCAAGTACAACCTTTGTCCCGAGATGGTCTTCTGCGCCACTCCCCCTTACGACGGCAACCTCACCCGATTCTACAAGCATCCGGCGGACTTTTGCTTCAAGCTGCCTGACCACGTCAGCATGGAGGAGGGCGCCCTGCTCGAACCGCTGTCTGTGGGCGTTCATGCCTGCAAACGGGCGGAGGTCACCCTGGGCTCCAAAGTTCTCATCCTGGGAGCAGGACCCATCGGCCTGGTCACTCTGATGGTATGTTAACCTTACTTAACTTCATATTTTTGGTTTTTCACAGAAAATAGTTATCTTTCTCTAAAAAAGAAACAAATTAAGAAAGTTTTTTGATGATCTGAACTATTTTTTTACATTTCTAATGATTTTGTTGTTGGATTAAGCACTTGGTAAAAGTCTGGGCCACATAACCTAACATTGAGGTGCAATAAAGGTGGAAGAATCTTACCAAGATAAAGATATAAAGTATAGACCAAGCCATCTAAACTCTTTAGTCGGTACTTTTAGACACATGGAAAAATATTAAAAGGTATTTAATGAAATCATACATCCTCTTCCACTTGCAGGCAGCTCAAGCCATGGGTGCCTCAGAGATCCTCATCACGGATCTGCTGCAGCAGCGCCTGGACGTGGCCAAGGAGCTGGGCGCCACCCACACGCTCCTGCTGAAGCGGGACCAAACCGCCGAGGAGACGGCGGAGCTCGTACGCCAAAAGATGGGCGGTCAGCCGGACAAGTCGGTCGATTGCTGTGGTGCAGAGAGCAGTGCCCGCCTGGCCATCTTTGTAGGTCATCTAGCAGGGTCAAGCTGAACTGTAGAGCTTAATTTTCGATTCCCTTACAGGCCACTCGATCCGGAGGAATTGTTGTGGTGGTGGGCATGGGAGCTGCTGAGGTCAAGTTGCCTCTGATCAATGCCCTGGCCCGTGAAGTGGATATCCGTGGAGTTTTCCGCTACTGCAACGAGTAAGTGTGGAGTTCCTGAAAAAGATCCTTTGATTAACTTTGAATCCTTTCAGCTATGCCGCTGCTCTGGCCCTCGTAGCATCTGGAAGGGTGAACGTGAAGCGACTGGTGACCCATCATTTTGACATTAAGGAAACGGCAAAGGCGTTCGAGACCTCGCGAAAGGGACTGGGTGGCGCCATCAAGGTGATGATCCACGTGCAGCCCAGGGACACCAACAATCTTCAAAAATTCTAAACACTTGTATAAGGCGATAAATATATGTAGCATAGAAAACACAGTACACTATTGCGCCTATAATCAATACACAGGCTCTAGTCAAAATCTAACTTTTGGACACCCAGTATTTCCAAAAAACCAAATTCGTCGAGTTCCCGGTAGTATATCAGTCGACCCCCTTTTTTCAGCAACCAGATGGCCGGCTTCGTTTTCGGCGGTATCGCGGCCTGTCGCCGAACCACCCACTGCCTCGGTCTGCTGCGCTCCTCCTACCGACCCCTCTGCCTATATCCGTCCTTGGCGCCACTGCACCAACGACGCCGGCGGCACAGCAGCTCCTCGCGATCCGGAGGTTCCGGCGAGAAGAAGAGCCCGTATGAGGTGAAGGATCAAACCAAAGAGCCAGGCCACAGTGCTGGTGGATTGGAGACGACAGCAGCGCCTCCTGATCGTCCCAAGGCTCCTGGAGAGCAAAGACCCGAGTCGCCCAACGAGGTCCGGCCAAAGGTACTGCCCATCCAGGATCAGCCACATCGCTCACAGCCCTCGCCTGCGGAGGTCAAGCCCCCAAACCCACACACTATTGTCTGCAGCTCAGACAACCAAGATTTATCGGGATCTCCGGACAATGTTTTTGGGAAAAATGAGAGCTTTGAAGACAAGGTGGTTGAGTTAGGGTCTCCCGTTAAGATAACAGAAACTAAAGGTGAGCAATGCTAGGATGAGTATACAAAAGGCTAAGCCCCAAACCTTTACCCTGCAGACTTCGAAACAAAATCTGAGTCTCAGATTTTTCCAACATCTACCGTAATTGATCTTATAGAAAGCCCCAAGTATCACTCGTTATCAGCCGCTGAATCAAAAGATGATCCCAAATTTGAAAATTTATTGGCAATTGAATCTGAGCTCAAGTCCCCAACAGCATCCATATCTGAATTTATTGAACAGCCTAATCAACAAACCTTTTCTCCAATTAAAGCAGAGCTCAGTTCCATGGACTCGAACACAACTAATCAAAATTCTCAAGGTGTAACGAGGTCTCCAGAGTTGCTGTCTCAGCGAAGCTCCTTTGGAACTCCATTTGAGATAAAGTCTAAGGACTCGAACCCTTCTAAATCAAAAGATAGGACCCAGTCGAAAGAATCTCAGCCTTCAACCGAGTCAAACGCGAGACCGGCTTCTAAGTCTTCTGGTTTAGGTAGGAGCCTTGATCTTAAAGTTATCCCCAGTCCATTGAACAAACTTCAAACAGAGAAGGCAAATACTCAGCCTGAAAGTCTAAAAAGAAGTTCTGAGTCTAAAAACAGTATCACAAGAACTTGTAAAGGAGTTACGAGCTCCACTTTTAATATGCCTGGGGAAAACAAGATTTCTGGGATCAAAGTCGATTTAGAAACACTTAAAGACAGAAGTGAAGAATTTGGCCAGCTGTTAGATAAAGTGCAAGAAAAGAGATTCGAAAAAGTCGACGCTGTCAAGGAAGAGCAAGCTAATAGGGATGTCATCCAGAAATGGGTGGAGCATTTTAAGTTGGCAGGCAAAAAGGCCGCATCTGCCAACGAAACCAAAACATCAGGGGCTATTTCGGCACCCTCCGAAAGTAATAAAGAAAAGAAGGTTTATTTCATAGAAACGCTGGTAAAGGAAAATAACATATGGGTACCTAAGAACTCAAGGTCTTCCAATACCATTTCACAGCCCTCTAGCAAAAATATTACCACAATAGAGCCAAGCACAAACTCCAAATTAGCATTGCCATTAAAAATCGTCCCCGAGAATGAAGCTCCAACTGCGTTTAAGAAAACCGTCAATCCAGTACCTTCATTCGAAATTAAGTCTAATAAGAATACTCAGTTTGATGTCACCAGTAAAGCAACGAAGCCCACTGAATTTATTCAAGGAGTACTAAACGCAAAGAGTAATAAAATTAGTGTCATTGATCACGAAAAACCTAAAGGTCAGTCCACAGAGGAAATAGTCGCAATGTTTAAGGAAGACAATGATAGTGACCAGGCTAAAATTGAGGAAGGCAAAGTCAGAGAATTGTTCAACACACTAGAAAGATTTAATGATGGGCCGGGTTCTTGCAGGACTCTGTCAAAACTCTTTTCACCCACTAAGAATAATCAATCGGATGTTTTGGCTATGCTTTCATCGAGGTCCGATAAAAAAGGAGGAGGTACCATAAATGAAAAAGGACAGCTCGATAGCACTGACTCTGGCAACAAAACCGAAGATACCTTTACAAAACTTGGCGACTTAGACTCGACGATCCGAGAAGAGGAATATGTTGATGCTCAGAGAAAGAAAGACAAGCACAACGAAGATTATTTCGCAAAACTTAGTAACTTAGATTCGACTATTCGAGAGGAAAGCAGTGACAATAAGCAGGGCGAGTCAAAAGAAAGCGAAAACAAGGATGAGAAGAATGTTGAACAAAGAAAATTTGATCTAGCACAGAAGGTTTCGTCTTTCATGAAGTCTGCCCAAAAACCACAAAGATTTGAAAAAATGGATTCAAAGACCAAAAGCAATGTGGAAACGACATCTGAGCTAACGCCCAGCGATCTGTACGACCCAATAGCCCCGGAGGTTTCCTCCCCAGCTCCTGTGGAATCGGGCAAAGCCGATCTTGAAGATATCGAGGAGCCCAGTCCTAGCCTAGAGGCTCCAGAGGTCAAGCCCAAGAAGGAGGAAGCCAAAGTCAAGGCACCCACGGCAGCGGATGAAAACAAAGTCAAGGCACCCACGGCAATGGATGAAACCAAAACTAAGGTCGACGAAAAACCTCCACTGGAACAAAGTCAGTCGAAAAAAGAAAAGCCGCAGCTGGATGATGGGGAACTGGCGCTTAAGTTGCTGGACAAAGCTACAGGGGAGATACCAGCGACGGCACAACCGACGCCAAAACCGCAAGCCGAGAAGAGCCTCTTTCAACACCTCTTCGACAAGATCTTGGGCAGGGGCAAAAGCAACGAGGGCAAGCGCCACATGTCCTCCTACACAGGTCGACGTCACCTGAGCACCAGTTCCATGGTTACATCTCCCATGCAGACTTGTCACAACAAAACCATAGTTCTAAGGAAAAACATTGGAGCTAGGACATTCGTCAGTCGGGAATCGGCCAACAAAATACTAAGCGAAGTTCATGAAGGTAAACTGGATCCACAGGAAGAATCCCCTGTAGTCATTCGCCTGCAACAACCCCTGCTGCAACCCCCGACACTTGAACTTTTTGCCAAGAATGATGACACTGAGATTAAAGGAGGCTCGCCCGAATGCTCTTCACCCAAAAAGTCGCCGCGAGAGCTTCTGCGGGAAAAGCAACAGACCAGGAAGATCAAGATCCTGGGCGGATCCGAGGAGTGTGCCAAGAAGATGAAACGACTCAAGGAGCTCACGAAGGAAAAGGACGACGACGACGACTGCGGCAGTCGTCACTTTTCCAGCAGCGTATCGCGCTTTTGCCGCCATCTCTGGGTAAGTTTTGGGTTCGCTGAACCGATAGTGCTTGACGACAGTCTTCAGCATATAGATGTGAAACTACCAGACCTAGCCAAACTAGGGTACAATATCAATTTTACTTTACTTGTAATACTTGGTAGTGCTAAAAGTGCCACTTCACCGAACTTAATTCTTGTATCAATTTTGGGAGCAATCGGAACGGAAATATACAGCGTACTATTATCAGAGACCTTTTTGAATGTCATATCGAGGTGATTGACGCCCAGCTAACTGTAGTATATAGATTAGCTCCATTTCGCACGACATCGTAAGAAACGAGGGAATTATTCAGAGTCAATTAAAATTTTATACCACCCTGGGGTCTGATAAGGTGTCGCAAATCAGCGTCGGCTCAACTTTGATAGTAACAATTTAGCGACTACACAACCATGCAATGAAAGCATTCAGAAGTATAAACAAAACTCTGGGAGGCGACCTAGGTTGTTTGTAGGTCAAGACTAAAATCTCTAACCGATGGGGCTCAGTTTTCTATTATTCCAGAGGCGGCAAACAACTCGAACAAAGTCAAATAATCTGCCAATCTTGCCGATATGAGCACGGAGATGTCGATACGATAACTGGATACCAGGTTTGACTGAATCTTGAGACCACATAAAAGGGGGTCGATCTGATGACTTTCTGGAATTTAACATAGTACTGGATCTGGTCAGATCAATGCGGAGCTACTAATAATATAGAAACATCCTCCAATAATGGATTTAGAACTTGGTTAACTAATATAATTTAATGGCAATAAAATTACTTATTGAACAAATAAAATGAATGAATATTGAACATTAAGAAAATTAAGTCCTATTTTAATAATTTATAGTGTTGAGAATTCTTATATTTATACCCGTTACTCGTACTTTATGCGGGTAAAAAGTATAAAACAGGTAGAAGAAAGCGAATCCCTATAAAGTATATATGTTCTTGATGAAGACCGCTAGCCAAGTGGATCTAGCCATGTATGTATGTAATGTAACTATATGAGCTAGATGGTTGACATTTTATATTTATTCGATTTTATTCGACTTTCCCACTCTAACGTCCACAATCCACCGAAAACTAACTGTCCGTACGTCCGTATGAATGCCGAGATCCCAGAAACCATAAAAGCTACCCATTTCGGATTAGGCATGCAGATTCTAGAGATTCTCGCACGTTTGTATAAGCAAGGTGACGACTCAATATAACAAACCGTCCAAAACGGTGGTGCCCACAGTATTGATTGTAGAATACAACTTTTTAATGAAATTAATTGGTTCCATAAATACCGATCGATTGGCGTAAAAAAATTTGACTTGCCCACTTAAATATATACCAAAATTATGTAAAAAGCATTTGCGCTGCAAGTGTGTTAATATGTATGTTTAATCAATACCATGCCCGGACCCATGGGAAGGATTAGGGGATAGATCCCCCCACCAAATCCGTAATATCAAATATTACCTTCAATTATTAACACAGTGAGTGTTTTGAGTTGTTGCGAAAAAAACCGATGTCCAATAAAGTGTGTCGAACAGAATAAAGATATTTTATCAAATGTGACATTGATCTCAATTGATGGCGTTAAAAAATCAAATTGTTACTGTCGCCCCCTAGTGTTCTAAGTTATCTTCACTTAAAGCCGTTTAGTCGCTAAGGTCACAAACTATCCTTGCCCCTTAATCCTTGCCCCACTCTCAACTATTCCAAATTTTTTTATTCTACTCAACATTTTTTTCGATATCACCACAACCAAATTCTGGATCCGCCAATGATCACCGCTCTCTAGTTCTTTTTAGTTTTCGAGATAGGATCCGAACGAGATAGGAACGAATACAATATAACTTTTTGTAACTCTTTGCAATTACTTAAAATTAATTTCTCATATAAATAACACTACATTTTTAGGTGTACTCATAAAGAAGTTTGAAAGGTCAAATGCTATAGCGAAAAAAGTGACTCAGCACAAAAGACTATTGCACAATCTAATTAGGTAATCAAGACATTTCAATTAAGTACAACTTTTGTCCTGCTGTTTTTTATTTTTTAAATTTGGCTGACCACTTTTTTTTCGTTTTTTGATAAGTTCTGCTTTTAAGTTGGTTGCCAGAGTGCTAATAGGAGTAGGATTACTCAAGGATCTCTGTTTACAAGGACCTACTGATTGCAATTGAGGATCGTTACCCTGTTTCAGTCGATCTCAACTGACCATCACTAAACTCAACTATGGATTTTCAATGGACACGTTAAGGACACTAACATGATTTCTTACTCTGTTTCGATCTTTGATATCCCCGGGTTATCTTCGATATTAATGTCAGTGAAATTTCAAATATATTGGGAGATATGTAACATATAAAATTCAGTTTAGGCCTTATTTTCATAGTCTAAGCAGCATACATTTTTTGAGGTGTTTTTTTTCAAAATTCCGTGTTAACTTTTTTCTAAAAAAGTATAAAATTGTATCAAAATGTTTAAAAGATCCGCGTTAATTCTAGGTCGATGTGCGAAGGACTGCTTTTGCAGGAGATGCGTAAAGCCCACCTTTATACGGTCTCACCATCTCAATGTTCTTGCAAACTTAAAAAAGGAAGGTTGGTATTGAGCTTACGTTTCTGATTACAATAATGGTAAAACCCTCTGTTTCTGTCATAGGCATCTCCAATCCCGATGGCCTTTTTAATCGGAGTCGCAAAAGATTCGGTAACGGTTCGATAATTAACGTCCAGGAGAAAGATTTTTCTGAACTTGCAACCACGATGCAACGACAATTCCTAGAGGATCTGAATCAAAAATCCCAAAGGATCGAATCGAATCAGTGCCTTAAAGAAGAAAAGCAAGAGGATCTCGAAAAGTTGAAAAAGGAATGTCTGAGGCTAGCGAAAGAAATCTCCATAGCTGGTAAAGATGGCGACATTGAAGAGGCTTGCAAGAAACTAGCTGAAAAAGAGAAGTGCAAGAAGAAAGAATTAAAGAAAAGGTGCAAGGAGCTGGCAGAAAGGGAAAAATGTGAGAAGAGAAAACTAAAAAAGAAGTGTAAGGAAATGGCGAAAAAGGGAAAAGAGGATCCTTGCAAAAAGAAAAAGGATCCATGCAAGAAAAAAGAAGATCCCTGTAAAAAGAAAAAAGAGGATCCTTGCAAGAAAAAAGAGGATCCCTGTAAAAAGAAAAAAGAGGATCCCTGTAAAAAGAAAAAAGAGGATCCCTGCAAAAAGAAAGAGGATCCTTGCAAAAAGAAAGAGGATCCTTGCAAAAAGAAAGAGGATCCATGCAAAAAGAAAGAGGATCCATGCAAAAAGAAGAAAGATCCTTGCAAGAAGAAGGATCCATGCAAAAAGAAAAAAGAGGATCCCTGCAAAAAGAAAAAAGATCCTTGCAAGAAAAAGGAAGATCCATGCAAAAAGAAAAAGGAGGATCCCTGCAAGAAAAAGGACGGCGGTGATCTAAAAAAGAAGTGCAAGAAAATGGCTCAAAAGGAAAAGTGCAAAAAACTGGCAAAGAAGGAAAAAATGAAGAAAATGATGAAAAAGTGCAAAAAGATGGCTGAGAAAGAAAAATGCAAGAAGTTGGCGAAAAAAGATAAATGCAAGAAAAAGTAAATGACCGATCTCAGTTAACGCGGATTAAACGATTATTTTGATAAACGTTTTTAATTGCTTTTCAACAGGTGTGGTGGGGTTTTCTTTCTAAAATCCATTGGCTATTGTGGTCAATTGAGCGAAGTGAACTGAAGGGAAGTGAACTTAGTGCTTGTTATACCCTTAGTTTGGCATTAAAAAGTCTTGCAATTTAAACGTAATGTTTTACTGGTTAATAAACTAATCATTTTAACCGATTATTGAAATACTTAGCATAAGGTCAAACCGACGAGTGTCTTGGCTAGCCTGATAAAACGCTTCCTACCTGTAATATTAAAATATAAATACTCAATTATTGAGTTTTGGGAATATTATTTCTCCATATATCAGTATCCGTGAACTTCGATATGATGCATTGCATTAGCATTCATTCTGTTATTGGATAGTTTTAAATATTAGAAATTTACCTTTGGTGTTAACGTCAGACTGATTCCCAAGTAATATGAGTTCTTCGATTTATAATTCAGTTAAGTCCCTTTACCTATAGTCTAAACATCAAATATTTGTAGTTCCTTTTTCAAAATTTCATGTGACTTTTGGCTACAAACGTTAAAAATTTTCCTTGAAATGTTTAAGAAATCCGCGTTAATTCTAAGTCGGTGCACACACTCTTCCTTTTTTCGCACCCACCACCTCAAGGTCCTTGCAAATATACAAAATGAAGGTATGTCCTGATCTTATAACTCTGGTAACAATGGTAATAACATTCCATGGCTTAGACATCTGTAATCCCGATGGACTTTTTAGTCAGAGGCCTAAACGATTCGGCGACGGCTCGATCGGTGTCATCCACGTCCAGGAGCAAGAATGTTCTGAACTCGCCAACCCGATGCAACGACATTTCCTAGACGATCTGGAGCGGCAAAAGGACCAACGGATCGGCTTAAGCCGATGGTTAAAAGAAGAAAAGAATGTAGATTTCGAAAAGATGAAAAGAGAGTGCCAGAAGCTGGTCAAAGAGATCACCATGGAAGGTCATGATAGCGATGTAAAAAAAGTCTGCAAGGAACTGGCCCAAAAAGAGAAGTCCGAAAAGGAAAAAATAAAAAAGAAGTGCAGGGAACTGGCGGCAAGGGAAAGGTGTGAAAAAGATAAACTTAAAAAGATGTGCAAGGAACTGAACAAAAAAGATAAGGGCAAGAAAAAGGATAAATGCGAGAAAAAAGATCCTTGTGAGGAGGAAGATCCTTGCGCGGAAAAAGATCCCTGCCCAAAAAAAGATCCTTGCGCTAAGAAACCAAAAAAAAAGGATCCTTGCGAGAAAGAAGATCCCTGTAAAAAAGTGGATCCGTGTGATGTAAAGAAAATTGATTGGGATAAAAAGTGCAAGAAAATAGCCAAAAAAGAAAAATGTAAGAAATTGGCCGAGAAGGCAAAGATGAAAAAAATGATAAAAAAGTGCAAAAAATTTGCCGAAAAGGAAAAATGCAGAAAACTGGCCGAGAAAGAGAAATGCAGGAAGAAGGCTCAAAAAGCACAAAAGTCCAAAACACCTCAAAAGGACAATCGCAAGAAAAAGTAATCAACCGAACTCAACGCGGACTTAACGGCAAAATCAATCAATATTTTTAAACACCTATTTCTGGATAAAATATAGCATTTTTTCGAGCAAAGGATTTTCCATTCTGGTTTTCCAGCTCGAAAAAAGGCAGAAGTATGCAGAAAGAAATTTTTTTTTTTTTTACTTTTAGGTTCTGTTGTAAATAAAGTATTCTAAAAGTATTTACACTCGGTATAACCTTAACCTCATTTACGCATTCAGAGGGATATTCGAGCAACCTGAACCCTGGACTGAGAGCAGTCAAGGAGTGCGAGGGAAATAGGGATATATGTACAAGTTATAAGCGTCCGTTCCCAAGATTGCACACTTAATATGCTTATAACTGTTTAGTGAATAGACCGAATTTAAAAATTTTTGACATGCAGTTGGACATTGATAATCAAAACATTTAAGATCAAGAATCTACATTCAAAATCCCAACTTTATAGCCTTTATGGTATCTGAGATATCAGCGTTAATACGGACGGACAGACAGAAGGACATGACTATATCGACTCGGCTGGTGAGCCTGATCAAGAATATATAGACCTTATGGGGTTGGGCAAATGATTTAACAAAAGAGCTCGTTCCTCTGTTTTAAATTTCAGCACTCACTACCGATGCCAGCGTGACGCCACCTAGCGAAGGGTAGTTGTACCTTTAACCAAGCCAAAGCCTGTTTTACTTAGTTATTAAAAACTTTTAAAATAACAATGGATTGGTACTATTCTCTTCACTGTGATAGGTATTGCTCAATAAAACCAGTTTCAATTTCTGAAAAAATCTTGCGCTGCTACATTCTATATCCTTAATTCATACGGATAGATGGACATATCTAGATCGACTCGGCTAGGGATCCCGATCAAGAATCTACATACAACAGTTGCGGATCCGGGATTTGGTTGTGGGGGGAAAAACAAGAATGAATGCTATAATCGACGGTCTCGACTATCTGATACCCGTTACTCAGCTAAGATCAGTGCGACGGAGATGGAGATATGCACGCAGCAAAGCGAATGTTACCAAGATTGCAACATCGTCCCCTAACTGAGTCTTTTTTTTAACCTGAAGATCACTCATTACATTGAATTATATCAGTAAGCCATGCAGCCATAGCTGCGCATTTTAAACTGTTTATGCCATATACCAAATTATGCCATCTGAACCCCAAATCTACGCGGTGACTAAAGAAGTCGAGGTCATTCATCCCAAAAAAAATTTACGGTGATTTCTAGTACTTTTGACCATCTTGAATTCGATATGCGTTTTATAACTGCTAGAAGCTTTTCGAGGCGATGTCATAGGCAATTTTCGGCATCAGCAACAAGTGCTTGGAATTGGTAAACCCAAAGGGTTAAATCTGATTTTACAAAATCCTGGATCGTCCATTTAAGCAACTCATTTACGATTGTAAATTCCACAGGCTCACTGTGATAATAACGTCAAATACAGGCCCACTTTTTCCCCAGTTTATGGAATATAATGGCGCAGATCGGGTCAGAATTTGTGTAGCTTTTGCGTTTTAACTCTTTTGGCTTTAAAATTATCCGTTGACTTTTAGGACTTAAATTAAGGAAAGTATGTTAAAACGAGCCTCACTGGCATTGTGCCACTACCCGGATGCTTGTTTCCGTGCCTGCAATTGTTGCAGGTGCATGCGGATATATCACGTGGCTAAGCTAAATGACGACCTGAAAGCTGTGCAAAAATCAAGTCAGGACTTTAGAAGAGCACTTCTGAAGCTGCGAAACGACTTGATCTCCCAGGAAGGTGGGTTATTAATAAGAAAGCTTTTATATTTCAAGTTAACCATTGCCAATATATGGCGACATAATACTCGTAGTTTTGGTTTTATATCGCACTTTAAACGTGTTCTATATTTTCAGGTACTTGTGATATTCCTTGCCCACGACCCGATCAGCCGTTGCGATGTGCGTTCCTGGCAGATCTCGAGCAGCAGCTGAAGCAGAGGATCCTAAGAAAAGAGTGTTTCGACCTTGATATGTCCTTGAAGCGGGAAGTTTATCCGGAAAGAGCCTCCTCCGCCGACGGGTGCAGTTCTGTATGTGGGGAAGGCAAGAGCGTCGGTAAAAAAAAACAGAAAAAGTGTGGCAAGGGGGGTGGAAAAAAAGGTGACGATGGAGAAGACGATACGGAGAAGCTTAAGAAGCAGTGTAAGCTGTTCAAAGCTGAGAAAAAGCTTAAAAAGTGCAGGGACATGGCTGCGATGAAAAAGTGCAAAAAAGAGGCCAAGGCGAAGAAATGTCAGAAAATGGCGGCTATGGAGCAGTGCCTGAAGTGCATTAAAAAAGAAAGAGGAGAAAGTGAAGTGGAAGAGAAGGAGGAGCAGAAAGTGGAGGAGGAAGAGGAAGGTGGCGAGGACGAAGGCGGCGAGAAGAAAAAGAAATGCCCAGATGAGGACGAAGAGCTGGAAAAGCTGAACAAACAAATCCAGAAATTGGCCGATCAAATGAACTGTGAAAAGTTGGCCAAAATAGAGGCCATCAAAAAAGCCTGTCGCGAGCAGAAAGAAAGGGAAGAGTGCGCCAGAAGAGCCGAAGAGGCCAGAAAGAGAGCCGAGGAAGAAAGAAAGCGGGCTGAAGAGGAGGCCAGAAGACGGGCCGAGGAGGAGGCCAACAAATCGCCCGAGGAAGATATATGCGAGCTAAGGAGACAGTGCGCTAAAATGGCCAAGGAGCAAAGAATGAAAGCGCAGGCTGCTCAGAAAAGACTCAAGGCTATTGCCGAAAAAGCCAAGTTCAGGAAAATGAAAGAGGAGTGCAAGAGAATTGCAGCAATCCAAAAGTGCCGCGAACAGGCCAAAAAGGACGAGGCCGCCAAGGCGAAGGCAGAATGCGAAAAGGCCCAAAAGGAAGAAGCCGCCAGGCTTAAAGCTTGTCGAGAGGCTCAGGAGGCAAAAAGAAGAGCCGAAAGCGAGTTGAATGCCCGAAAGAAAATGTGCGAAAAAATAAATAAACAGGAAAAACCAAAGGAAGTCGACGTATGCGCTAAGTACAAGTTCGAGTTCCAAAAAAAGGATTTGAACAAAGCCTCCGCAGTAGGAAAAGCGGAGGTTAAACAAGAAATCAAAAAGGGGGTAGAAAAAGAGATCGAAAAGGACGTCAAGGAGCTAAAGAAAGGGGTCGAAAAAGAGATCAAAAAAGACGTCAAGGAGATCAAAAAAGAGGTCGAAAAAGAGGTCAAAAAGGACGTCAATGAGATCAAAAAAGAGATAGAAAAAGAGGTCAAAAAGGACGTCAAGGAGATCAAAAGTGAGGTCCAAAAAGAGATCAAAAAGGAGGTCAGTGGAACACCTGCTCCTCCGCCTCCGCCAGCACCCAAAGCTACACCCCCACCCCCTCCACCACCCAAGGCCGATCCCAAGCGACTCTTCCAGATATGCAAGAAGATAGCCGAAAACAAGATAAGACAAAAGAAAAAGAAGATCAAGGCACTAAAGGCCAAATGCATAAAAATAGCCCTTAAGGAGCAGTGCAAGTGCGAGAAAAAAGCAAAGAAGGCCAAGGAACTGGAGGAGTACTGCAAGAAAAAGAAGTAGAGGTTCAACAAGTACCGTGGTTCCAAACTCTCAGATCTCCAGATATAAATTAAGTTCCTCAAAGTTAAAGTCTTTGGCTGTGCCCTCGTAACAATTCTTCATCAATTTGTGTGTTTTATTACGATTATAGTCGTACATCAGTTTCAGGCACTATCGCAGGCTTATAAAATGAGAAAAAATAATTTTGAGCAGCGCAATTGCATTTTTAAATCGGAATTGACTAAATTGTGCGTATATATACGATTATTTATTCAGATGCAGTCAAAACAATAGAGATTAAAATCCCCTTTTAGCGCCCAAAAGTTTTTTGGATATACAAAAACAAGTTTACATGATATAACCGAACTGTAACCTTTGGATTTGATTTAAGAAAGTTTAATTAATATCTTCCATCAAACATTTTATGTTTTTAATTATAAAAAATGTATACTATAACGAAATTAACAAAGAAATCTGAATTGCAATAACGTATTAAGCACTGTTGAAACTTTGTATTATTTTGACTGCAACTATTGTATTTGGGCTTTCGTTTTGGACGGAAAGCTATCATTTAATAAATGCAGGCCGATCAAAATTACGAAAGAAAAGGATCCCCTTCAATATCATAAATCTTACATCACCTAGGGGTAGCTAGAAAAAAATGAGTACAACTCTTGTAGTTCGAGTTATTAGAGTTAAACTATTGTAGAATATCATTGTTCAGAGATTCGTTCACTGGTTCGCTGCCGGTGCAGTGGCATTATTGAACTGGAAGGTCGGATAGCGGGGAGCGAAGGCTCCGTCACCCATTATCTGCGTATGCTCGGAGTCGTCGCGTCCAGCGATGGTTGGCGCCTTGTACTGGGTCTCCACAAACTGCGGTGGCGCTAAAAAGTAATACAAAATTTTATAAGTCTTTAGAAAATAACAAATATAAATGGAATTAGCTTGCTTGATTTAATTTTCAGACATAAGAAGATTCCACTGTCTTTTTGTTCATAGACTGAATCATAGATTCATACTCACGTATATTGGGATACAGGGAGCCACCACCACCAGTGCTGTCAGCCACGTTCCAGCCCAGTGCTCCGCCAACGCCATCGCCGCCGGGAGGACTGGCCGGACTTACTGGCTGTGTGGGCGCCAGCGATGGATCCTCGGACTGGACGGTCGACGGAGCATCTGTAAACTGCGTGGGAGGCCTTACGCCCGCCAATGGAATGGTGCCCAAGGTAATTGGGACCTTGCCGGTAAGATTGCGGTGCGGACCGCTGACATCGCACTCCACGTGCAGGTCGTAGTCCAAAGCGATAATACCGCAGTTGAGAAGGTTGGTCGGTGGCAGCGCCGGTATTTCCATTTGCTGCGTAAACGTGTGCGACTCGCCGCCATTGACTGGACCAACACTCAAGTTGGCTATGATCACCTTGGACTCGCGCTTCTCGCTCCGTGGCTGATTCGTGTGGAAGGTGACTAACTTGCGCAGTTCAAACTTCACTGCGGTGAGATTCACGTTGCTGGTGTTGTCTACCTCGCAGGTGATAGGCAACACCTGCCCAGAAACGAATCCTGTTTGCGGTATGCTCGTGATCACTGCCAGCGGCCCCGAGCGACAGCAAAAACAGCAGAAGGACTTTTCCAGCTCAAGCTTGAACGGTTCCTTGACGCGTGGATTCAGATTCAGATCAACAGGTGCTATAACAGTAAAAGCCATCTTCATGTCCTGGTCGAATTTCCAGGGACGATCGAGCGTCACCTTTATGGTGAAGCGCACGTGTCCGAATTCACCCTCAAAAGAGGAGGGAAGATTGGGCGGCAGGGCGCAGGTGAATGGATAAGTGTGTGTGCCAGGCGGCAGCTCCGTTTCAGAACCTAAATAATTGAAATTTATAATTAACGTCTTTAAGTGAACATTCAAAACTTTAAGCTATTTATTTATTTAAAAGAGAGGAAGGTTTTTAGAAGATTAATGCATTCCAAACTTTTTATTTAAACTTTCTTAAACTTTAAATTGCATTTGTTGCTAAACTTACAGATAAGTTAATTATAATTTGTTTAGTTATGGGCATACATTTTTAATGCTATTTGAAATGCCCAAAAAAGGAAAAGGCCGCCTAACGTTTATAATAATTTTCAAACCATTTTAATTAGAAGTTTACTTACTTTCATTTCCCATTAGATTTTATGCGTTTAACATAATAGCCTATCTTCAAATTTAGTTTCAACAATTTTAGGGTTTTGGTTTGTACTAATCGAAACGAGTAAGACCAATACTTTAGATACGCTCGCATTTGGATTAAAAAGCGATGTAAAAATCCCAATTAGGATTATGATGTTCAATAAGAAATGGTCAAGGACACCGGCAAAAATTAGTACAATAGCTTTTGCCCCTTTCAAATTATGGCTTTAAGTCATTTTTTTCCTTTTGCCACAACTAATTGTCAGTTAAATATAAGGTATTTTGTTATTTTCTGTCCGTTTTCAGGGTGCCTTAGGATGAAATTTGAACTTTATATTATCTAATCGGAGTATTAATAATTTAATACATTGTATTTGAATACTGTTCTGTAAATTTCTATATAATTTTAACATTTGCAAGGAATTACTTGACAAACTACATGTTCAATGGGGCGGGTCGATCTGGGCGCCTGAAAATCGTATGGGGGTATTGCCGAACAAGCTTTTGGTCTTAAACGACTCGCCCTACTAGTGATACTAAAACCAGAATACATATATTTTATTGGCTTGGGAACGCTACCTTTTACCTGTTACATATTTTTTGACGAACACAATGTAACCTTTTAGTCTAGGGGTATTATAAATGCAAATCTATCCAGTTCTGTATTTCTATAGCTTCTAATCTAAGGTTTCTAAGAAAGTATCGCTTTTTAATTTGTAAGACTAAGAGGGTCCCAAGCTTAGTTTGGAAAGTTGTAAGAAACAGCACTACTACGATGTCTTACAGCATTGGATCTTGTATTTTTCTATAATCTTTACTAGATCTTTGTAACGCAAATATACATTAAAAAAAGAGACATCTGAATTACAAAGTGTCAGGTTTGTACAATTCGCAAATCCGGCGTCTACACCTCTTAGCCGCCTTAAGAAATATCTGCGAAAATCACCGATCAGTTTTTGTGTACTTACTGTTCTTTCCGCCCAGCAGATAGTACTGGATCTTGAAGTATTCTTCATGCCCCTTTAACTGAGTCACCTCGTTCTCCGTCTTTCCCTCGCTGGTGGTCACACTCTTCTCCTCTGTCCACTCGGTGTTGGCTTCTCCCAGGAACCGGATGATGATTCCTACGGGAATCAAGTAGCTGTATTTACTGAATGACAATCTACGACGTCACCGTCGCGTTTTAAATTTAGCTATAAATAATATGAAAAGCTCGCCACGGCATATTCAACGGATGACATCATCGCCACCAGACAGCATCGCTCGCCCGTGTTTGGTGGCCTCAAAATTTGATTGTTGTGGAATGTTTGTCACATTCATAGGTTACATACTCCCCCTTTAGATCTATTTATTTACTTTCTTTTGTGTTCACACTCGCAGCTATTTATAGTTTGTTATCGCCGAACTGGGGAGAGGAGAAAGTGCATTTCTTGGAAGGGTCAATAACCACAACTTATATGAAAACAAGGTCGTTTGGAAACTAAAGGGCCAACACACATTTGTGGGTGGGTACCGGCTTTTTGTGAAAGGATTTCTAGAACTTACAAAAATAACAACAACTGCACATCATACACAATATATGTGTGTAGATGATTGTGGATATATATATATCTCAAACTCCAATTAATCACTGACCCAAACAGAGGTGTCGTCACTTCTATGAGTAATACATAGAACGCAGCTGGGTTTTTAATTAACATTTACTTGCACTGCCCTCTAAGGTGATTTAACTTGCACTTACCTCGAACTTTTTTGGGGGAGTCAAAGGTGAATATCACCTGGCCGTTGACCGTCTGACCGGCGTAGTAGGTGTTCCATGGGTTGTCCAATTGTATTTCACAACCTTTAAGGCCCATTTTTGAGATTCTGTGGCTCAAAGCACCGACAAATTAACGACAATTTCGGTCTGTTTTTAAACGCCGAATTCAGAGATTAGAGATGGGCGTTGCTGGTCTCTAGGGATGAGGAAATAAAATAAATATTGTCCGATATTTTAGTATTACCAGTTCCAAATGCTGTAGCCCTGGTAAAACTAATTAACTTAATTGATATGTAAATTTATAAACATTTGTATAATTGAGCAATTTGAGTCGTTGAATGCACAGATTTACTGCTTTAAAAGATTAGGTCTTCGCACAAAAAAACATATGCTTACTCTTGATTCGATAAAACGCGCAACTTTGACCATTTTCATTGCCAATGTATTATAATTCAGTTTTATAACTTTAAAAAATAAAATAAATTTTAGAAGATGAATTCGATGAAAAGGTCTCAGAAAAATTAGTATGGAAAGGCTAGTACTCAGTTACATGTTCGCTCCTGGAAAAATTGGTGTACTGGCGTGGATCCAGGGGAGGGAATGCAGGATGTCCCACGCCCCCAAATAAGCTCGATTTCCATACAAAATTGTTAAATTAATTTAATATTTTCAAAAAGTTTCCTTTCCAAAACGAATATTTTTCGCAAGGAGTTGCTCCACATGCTCTAGTGCCCGGATTTTCAAGAGTTCATAAACCTGACCTTATTTTTAATAAACTGGGCTTGTTAACAATCAATCTGTTGCAGAAGCGACGTCCGTTTGAACGAGGTACAAACATTAATGGGTCATGGCAACTCTGTAACATTTTAGCATGACCAGTATTTATTTTAAAATCATGTTAGAATATATCTTTTAATTCTTATGCTTACTCATATTGAAAAAGAAATTTTAAAAACTACTTACATCTCTTCGAAAATTTAACAGGAACCATTTAGAACCTTTTCCTCAATTGCGAAAATTATTTTTGAATATTCAACCATTCGACATTTTGGGGAATACCCAGAATATTTACGAGTGCCATCTTTATAAAAACTTATCAAAAGTAGCAGTTTTGCCCTCCCACCACTACTCGTGACTCACGGGCCACAAGCACGACATCCAGTTCCATCACTATTACAATAAGACAGGAAGAAGAAGAACTTTTGCGAAAATTCTCTTTTTTTTCCGAGTTTTCATTGATTAAACAAATTCCAAAGTAGCATTACCCACTTGGAAATGTCGCTCTTTCGCAAACCGAAGAAGATCCAACGACGCGTGTTCTCCAGCAACGCGGACGAGGAGGAGGACGGGACATCCTTGGACCCGGACGCCGAAATGGAGGCCCCTCCGCCTCCCATAATTTCCGGCAAGCGGGACAAGGAGAAGAGCCGGAAGGCCATTAAGCCGCAGGAGGACAGCAGCAAACCGAAGGCGCTGCTCAGCTTCGCGGATGATGGTGAGCTATGGCGGAATACGAAAATCAGAAGGGTTAGTAATTCGCAATTCCCTTGCAGAGGACGACGGCGAGGTCTTCCAGGTGCGGAAATCGTCGCACAGCAAGAAAGTGATGCGCATGCTGGACAAGGAACGCCGCAAGAAGAAGCGCGAGGAGCGGGCGGAAAACAGCGGACATCCCGGTGGCGAAAATGGTAGTACACAGCATTTAGAGTCGTCCGGTGGCCCATCTTCGGGCCCAGCCAATTCCAACTCGAATCCTGCCAATGCTGGCAGATATAAAAGTGCCAGCGATCAGAGTAAAAGTAAAAAAAGTGATAATCATATGATCCAAACCGAAATACGCACAGACGACTTTGTGGTAAGGTTATTATTATTCAATTTCTTCTACCATAATACCGTTTAACGAAATTTCAACATCAAAAATTAAAATTAAATTATCGTAGAATAATTAGGAGCAAAGATTACACACGACTAGCATAAATGAGTTTAATTGTGTATTTAGAGTTTACAGTTTAATTTTATGATCTTTAAGCGCCTTTTTTAAAAAGAAGTAGCTTAGACTTTGCTTTGTTTGCCGTTTAAATTAATCAGTGATGGGAAGTATCTAGGTAGTAGACAACCACAGTCAATCACTTTAGAATAGGGAATTTTGAATGTATTCTTAATCGACAAAATCTACAAATTTATTTTACAAAAATACCAATAACAAAACCTTAATCTACCTAGTTATAAATCTGGTACTTTTCCCACCATTGACTATGATCGCATGTTTTCTTTCCTACAAGCAGCATGAAAACTTGAGCCTCACTTTAAACAAAATCCTCTTGAGATCCCCAATAACATAGTTTTTATTCATTGTCCCCAGCTAGTGGTAAAGAAATCTGAGACCCCCGAGGGAATTCTGAATGGTCGAGCTGCCCTCTGTGCTGGACGAGATGATATGGACGACGAAGACGACCAGCAATCCGAAGATGGTGGCCACGACAAGACGCGCCACCGCTTCTCAAAGCCGGAGCATTTGAAACAGATGCTGGAGAGCGGTTCCATTCCGGATGCAGCAATGATACATGCTGCCCGAAAGCGTCGGCAGAGAGCCAGAGAACAGGGTAAGATCGTTGGTTTTGCACTTTAAACATCGACTCATCTATTCCTGTTTCTAAATTTAGGAGCAGGCGACTACATACCCGTTGAGGAGCCTAAGGAGCCGGCCAAACTGAGCACCCGCCTTCCCTGCGAAGACGTTGAGGGGGATCAATCGGATGACGAGGAGCGCATGGATATGAACGACATAACAGGACGCAAAGAGCGCGAAGAGCGGCGCGAGCAGTTCTATGCCGTCGAGAATGATTGTATGTAGAGGGGGCCCAGTCCGATTTGCGGCCAGAAACCGAGCCAGGCCAAACACAGGTGAAATTTGTTAACTATTGCTAACCCTTGTTCAATCCTCTGCAGCCACCGACGAAGACTCTGACCGCGAGATGAACGAATGGGAGAACCAACAAATCCGCAAGGGTGTCACGGCTGCTCAGTTAGTGCATTCCCAGCACGAAACTGTGCTCTCCCGTTTCATGATCAAGCCTGCTACACCAGGAGGTGGGTCTGGAATGGACGACGGAGATTTAACGACGCAACAGTCCACGTCCACGCTGCTAGAGCAGGCCTATGCTAAAAATGCCCTCGACCGCAGCAATTTGGCGGCAGCAGTTCGCTCATCTGCGAAGTCCAAAAAGGAGAAAGCCAAAGCTACTGCATTAAGAACTCCGCAAGAAATCGTTGCCGCTATTCAGTCGCGTCTAAGCGAGCTCAAGGAGCGATCGGCGGATCACACCGCCAGTATGGCGAGGATCAGTATCGAACTGAAGTCACTAAAGCTCCAGCAATTGGAATGCCAGCAGAACGCACCAACAGCGGCGGCAAAGTACAAGTTCTACCAGGAAGTAAAGTGCTATGTAAACGACCTTGTAGACTGCCTCTCTGAAAAGACGCCAGTGATCAATGAACTTGAAAAAAGGGCACTGCAACAGTACGGAAAAAACCAGCGCTATCTGGTGAATAGACGGCGGCAGGATGTTCGGGATCAGGCCAAAGAAATTGCCGAAGCAGCAAGTATGAATCATTTTTTATTATTTCCAACATTAAGTTAAAGACTTGCCGAATCTCAACACATTTTTTTCCTTCAGAACCCGCATCAGCAGCATCCCGTCGTGCACCAGAATACGAAGAGCAAGTACGTCGTGCCGCGGAAAGGGAGGGTCGAAGGACACGTCGCCGTTGCGACCGCGAGCGAAACGATCTACTCTCCTCCCACCTGGATGGCATGTCCAGTGACGATGAGATCGCCGACCAGCAGCAGGAGCAGAGCGTAGTGTCAACGGCCCAAATAGAATCCGAGTCTGTGGAGGCGTTTGACGATGTTACCGAGGACTTCAGCAAGATTGAGCTGATCCTGATGAAGTTTTATGCATGGCGAAAGACGGACATGTCTTCGTATCAAGATGCATTCGTAAGTCTGTGCCTTCCAAAACTCTTGGCGCCACTGGTGCGCCACGAACTGATTCTTTGGTCGCCTCTGCTGGATGAGTACGCGGATATTGAGAATATGCGGTGGTATCAGGCCTGCATGCTTTATGCCTACCAGCCAGATGAAACTGTCGAGCAGCTAAAGAACGACCCGGATGTCAATTTGGTGCCGGCGCTCATCGAGAAGATTGTCCTGCCCAAGGTTACAGGTGAGTTTTAGTCATTTCTACGACGAGGGTGGGGTCTTACAAATATTCAACTATTTCGTAGCTCTGGTCACGGAATGCTGGGATCCCTTGTCGACCACGCAGACCCTCAGATTGGTGGGATTCATCAATCGGTTAGGCCGCGAGTTTCCGTTAAGCGGGACCAATAAGCAACTTAACAAACTTTTCGAATCCATCATGGAACGGATGCGGCTAGCCCTAGAAAACGATGTTTTTATACCCATCTTTCCCAAACAGTAAGATATACTTTTCTAAAAATGTGAACTTGTCGTTGTTTAACCTTTTCTTTCCTTAAATTCAGAGTGCAAGAAGCAAAGACGTCGTTCTTTCAGCGACAATTCTGCAGCGGCCTGAAGCTGTTTCGCAATTTCCTAAGTTGGCAGGGCATTCTGGCTGATAAACTGCTGCGGGAGCTGGCCATTGGAGCGCTGTTAAACCGCTACCTTCTGTTAGCTATGAGAGTCTGCACACCAAACGATGCCATCAACAAGGCTTATATAATTGTGAATACTTTGCCGACGGTCTGGTTAGTGCCCAACAGCGAGACCCTCAAGAACTTGGAGCTTTTCATAGGATACATTAAACAAACTATAGAGAGCTGTGATGCCACCAATCCAGTCTTCATGTAATGAAACAATTTTTTATAGTTAACCACCACTGATTTCATTTTCTTTCTTCAGGCAATCCAGCGATAAGGCCAAACAAATTCTACAAAGACTACATAGTATATAAAGTGCAGGGACTACCATTTACAGCTCACATCAATCTAACAATCAAATACTCGTTGTAGAACGCATGGAAAGCACAACTATCTGTTTTGTTAGCAATCTTGTAACTATATGACTTCAAACAATGTAAATAAATAGCAAGTGCTCAGTAAAACATTTTCTAAATGCAAGCTTGAGCTTACCAAACTTAATTGAGAATCGCCCAATCCAATCAATTTTTAATCGTTTTCCTATAAATATAAAACCTTGAAAGTGATAAAGTTTGGAACTCTGTTTAAGGCTCATCGTTTTGTATCTTTACTGATTGTATTTAGGCGACTCGCATGCATAGCAATAATAAAAACAGTTTATAAACTATGAAAATTTAACAATTTCGAAATCTTTTATGGACCAGAACCAATTAAAATAAAGATACAAAGAAATGCTTTGGGAAGCTTAAGCGATGCAGGAGCATCATCAATCAGCCTTGGAAACCGAAGCGCGTGTAAAATTTTGCGCCAACTCGACGACTTCCGTTTGCATGGCTTGCAGTTGTTCGTAGGCGATCTTTGACTCGCTGCTGTCCGGCGTTGCCTGAAGTACTTGTAGGACCAAATCTAAAAATATTTAATAACAAACAATTATTTAAGATAAAGGTGAGTTTTTGTACATTTTTTTTATTCGAAATCGAATAGCAACTCACCGTGATATCGAAGCAGCAAAGCGTTCTGTGACTCATTCAGAGATCCGCGAATGTGCTGCAGGATAGCAGATACGAATTTCCCGGACGCATGCAAAATATTACCACTGATCGTGGTAAAAAGGATCAGTGCGGCCAAATGCAGCAGCAGAGCCGGCTCCCGGCACTCGAGCAGCTGTTCCTGCAGTTTCTTCTTGTGGTCCGCGATCAGCAGGCGATCCTTCTTCTTGTCCACCTTCTTGATAATCATGCTACAGGTCTTGAGCACAGCTTCCGTTGCCAATTCAAAATCGTCAATGGACTTGTTCAGGGCTTTGTTTTGTTCCAGCAATGCAACGCGGTACTGGGCATCGCACTCCTGAGCCAACTTGTTACGCTGGTCCACATTAAGGTTGGTATTTTTCACAGTCAGATTGCACTCGCTGGCCACGTACAGTGAAAGTTCGTTGCAAATATCATTTCCCAAAGATTTGAGCAGATATTTAACCAACTGGATCTGCGTGTCCTGGGGAAAAAGCTTCAAACCCTTTTCGTACAGCCTTATATCTATCAGCAGCGTATTGATTCGATCCTGGATAGCAGCATGGGTCTGGCGGCGATTTGTCTGCGGTGTAGCTTCGAACAACTCCTGGGCACGAGTTAAAGCCGTCTGATTAAATTGGCTAAAAAGAAAAAGTAAAGTACACTTGTAGTTGTCAATTCAGGCACCGTATCCGTTCTCTGATATGTATTTTGAATCTAGGACCAAGCGTCTTTGCTTCGATCTGCTTTATTCGACATGGATGAATTTGCTTTACTTACTTCGTATATAGGGCAGCAATAGATCTCGACAAATGCTCCAAACCCTCCTCCTCCAGGCTGGCAGTGATCAACTTTACAATGTCCGCTGTCTTGACCAGTTCCAATGGCTTAACTGTCTTCTTGTTTCCGCCACCGCCACCTCGAGAGCCTTGCTGCACATCGTCCTCGTCATCACTGTCGTTTTGAGCTGCAGCCTTGCCTCGTTGGTGTTTCTTTGTGGACTTCGTCTTGGTCTCACGCCCCTGAGAACCGCCTCCTGCTTTGCCAGAAGACGCTTTCTTTCTTCGCTCGTCACGCTTGTCCACCTTACCATCGTCCTCAAGCTCTTGGGTCGAAACGTTTCCCTTCTGGGCCAGAGTCTTCTCCACGATGTACTGCTGGTAGACACCGCTGTCGATGGCCACCTTTGCCTGAGACTCAGCCAATGCTTGACAGGGCTGAACCAGCTGCGCGAGATACGGTTGCGAAAATACTGAAATTAAAATATGAATTAATATATTTTTTATCCATAATTTTCATGCTTCCCATGCTATGGAAACTAATTAAATAATAAAGACTTATGCACAATCATACCATTCGTGTTTTGGTTTCCTTTATATAGATTAGACAAATTAGAACTCGAGCTCGAGCCAACTACTTACCGATGCTGTCCAGGTACACAAAGTTGCTGGGATTGCTGTGCTTTTGGGCCATAATGGCGCCGAAAACCTCCTCAATGTCCTCTTCCGACAGATTGGAAGGAAGGACGGTAGACAGATCCAGGTACTGCTTGGTGGCACTGCACTCGTTCAGCGCCGTGACCACCGTGAGCTCCACAAGTCGAGCGCCAAGAGCCACACGCTTGAGGAAGAGGAACTCTTCGCTGGGGAACTGCTTGCGGATGTAGGACTTCGCATCCGAAATGCCCAGCTTTTGGATGGCATCGTACTCAAGGAAGCTGTTTTGCTTGTAGAACGAGTTAACCCAGTCGGCCTGCGTCTTGGCGTAGATGTGTGGCACATACTGGGAATTGGCCAGTTTGGAGGTAACCTGGCCCGCTGGCGCGATCTCGTCCAGCAGAGAGTGGAAGATCTTCTCCTGCACTCCGATCTGCTGCAGGATCACAGCCACATTCGTGGGCCTGGTAATGGCAGTCAGTGCTCCACGAATCTTTGCCTTGCAACGTTGGATGTAGGCCTGCGTGAAAAACACACGCGGATTGGTGGCATCCTGGCGACCCTTGATGATTTTGCCAAGGTGCTTTTCCACCACGTCGTGTTGCAGGAAGTCCGACGGCAGGTCGAACTGGGAAGCCAATTCCGATATGGAGACCTCTCCTCGAAGCGCGAGCTTCTCGTTAATCTCCTGGGCAATGTGGCTGATGTAGTCCTCGTCGATAAGCTGTCCCAGTACCAGGTGTATGCTCGGGTTCTCTGCCGCTATCCGCTCGGCTAGGCCCACGATTCGGGACAAATCCACATTCAGTGTTTTGCTGACCTCCACCAAGTTGGCACGTCCTCCGTTAACATACAGTTCGTCCTGGATCTCGCGCTCCAGGTGATCTGGGGTGATGTACTCCTTGCCATCGTTCGTGAACACCACCTCCAGCATCTGCTTCTCGAGCAGCAGCGTGACGATCTCCACGCAGTTTCGCTCCGAGAGCCTTCAAGAATGGAAATGGTTAAATTGAAAATGCGTGGGTTTGCAGGCGTAGCTCACTTCTGCAGAGTCGACGTCAGCTGCGCCTTTTGAAAGTCGGCGGCCAAGCGCTTGATCTCGTCCCAATCACTGCCCATCTTTGTTATCAATCGGTGAGATAAAGATATGAAATAGACTCTGTTCCAGGTGCAATCAGAAAAAGCTGAAACGTCAACAAAAGTCCAATGTAACCACACCGCGGATTTGCTGGTTTTGTTAGCGGTTGCTGTCTTGGCATGGGTTAAACACTTCGCTAATAGTACTATTAGGTCCCGTTTCCTTTACGGATGCGTCGCGTTTGCTTTTACTTAACGTTCAACTTTTTATGGTTATTAGGGACAAATGTTAATCAAAACCGCAATTTATATAAAATATGGTAGAAATAAATTTTTGCTTTTGAAAATTTTAATTGAACCAAGAACGGAAAAATGAAAGCCTTTTATTAATTTTGTTAAAACAAAGAAAAAACATAAGAAGAACTTATTCCAAAGATACGAACTTTTCGTATAGGTCAAGTTTCAGCAGTTGGTTCTGAAAGATTTTCCTTTGGTTTGTCGAATGTTTAACTGTCTCTGCATGTTCATGATCTTGCGTCTTTTTTTTTTTGTATTGTGTGATGTTTTTTTTAAGTTTTCCCTTGTGACCAGAAGATTTTCGTTTTTCTTCTTCATACTTATGAACTTCTTTTGTCAACGTTTTAAAAGCGTTTTAAAAAACTCTCCGGCGTTTACTCTATTATTTACTATTTCTGTAACTTGTTTTTATTACTCGAAAAAAATTTGAATGCATTTTGAAAATTTGAAAATTTTTATTTTTTGTTCGTTTAAACAATCAATCTTTTAGAAATATCGCAAAAAACTGCAGCTTTCTAACAATACTAGAGAAGAAATCACTGATTTTTGGCCAAATAAATAAACTTTCTGGACCAGTGTTAGACAATCTAAGTCTTCTCTGTACAAAATATAATTTCCAAGACATTTTTAAAGATTTTTTTGCTTTAAACGTGTTACAAGAATGAATGAAGAATGAACATAAAACATCTTAAGAAAGTAGTGGATATTAGTAGAAATATTAATATATTGCTAGATATCCGGATTAATATAATCACAGTGTACCAGGGCTATTGGCGAACCACGTATAAGTAACCTTGACATAAGCTCTACCTGAAGGTGGTATGGAAATGAAGTTTTCAATTTCTTTACAGGTTTATTATGCGAACGAAAGTTCCATACCACCGATTAGAATTAACAAATAAATTAATAATTTTAACAAAGAAACTGTGCATTTCATCAAGATCGATTCATATGATGAAAAATAAACTAAAGAGAAGTAAAACGTTAAAGGAAAAGTTTGAATCTTAACAGAGCTGTTAAAAACGGCGTCTCAGAAAATGTTGAGACCCGACAGGTGTGACCAGAGTTAAAAAACTTTGGAAACCAAATAATTTGTTGGTGAAACTCTGAAACCCAGCCACGGCACTCTACATTTTGAAATCAACGTTCGTCGGCGAGTGCGCGTCGTTTTCCACAGCGAATTTCCACAAGATTAGAGCTTGACAAGCTTCGAGTAAAGCCGAGTTCCAGAGCCTTTTCAAGGTAAGCGTGACTGTTGGATCGCCCCAAAAGGTTAGACCCTCTGATAGTTGTCCGATCCCAGGGGCCGAAATAAATCAATAATTTTCACAGACCAGCACTTTTCACTTGTGTCATGGAATTTTATACACCAAGCGCAAGCGCTGTCTGTGTGTGTGAGCGTGCAGCTGCTTTTGAATTTTATTTAGCACAGCTGCCATATGCCTTATAAATAACACATCCTCTGTGGAAGTGGAGAATCGCCTGCCTGGCTGTTTTGGGCCCCACTCCGGTGGATTCTCTTTGCGGCTCTCCTTTTTGGCGGCCATATTAGTCGTGTTTCGCTTTAGTCTGACGATTATTGCATGCACCTAAAAAAAACTAGCTGGAAGCAGTTTAAACCGAATTTTAGTTGCTGCTCTCGAAGTTGTTTTTTCTTTCTGCTCTGCCAGTTTCCGTGTGCATCGCCGTTTAAGTCTAAGTCGAAGATACATTTTAAGTAGGTCTCTGCCGAAACTGGATTTCCGTCTAATGTGTTTTGGCCATATTTACTTAGTCAACAAGTCGGCGAAGGCAAAGGCCCACAGTTTCAAGTTATATCCAGATTGCTCATTACTCATAATTTCAGCACACACACAAGCACACGGGCACAGTTAATGTGATTTACCCGTGTACGTGTGCTTCTGTGAGCCGGCAATCGCCCTAGGGAAGCAAAAACAACAAGTACAGTGGAAAGGGAACACGGCAATCAGCCGCTGTTATTGCTTTTATGCACAGTGAGAAAAGAGGTCCAATAACAAAAAATACGGTGCCATTTTTTATATACAAATTAAGTCGTTAGTTGGCCTGAAATTGCTAAAATATCAAAGCGATGAGGAAAGTTGTAAATTGCTATTAAATCGAACTCGGTGTTTCCTGCTGTGTACTCTAGTATTTTATTTGCCCAGGTGGAAAGCGCTCAACTATGGGAATCGGAATCGCTACAGAGCCGTCTAATCTAAAGATCTTTGACTCGCTGCGGTCATTCACTTCGCTTTGTTTTCCCCATGCCCCAACAAAATTGCCAGTGTGTGTGGCCCGGGCTTTTTGTTGTTGCCAACAGCCACCCCAAAGGCGCTACACCCCGGGGGAATTAGGGTGGGGGGAGTTGGGCGGAAAGCGCCTCCCCAGCGGATGACGCATCATTACAAATGCTTTACAGCACTTGCTGCAGATGTCATCGCCTGTAAGGCGACCTCTTTTTCGCTATGAGCGAAGCATAAATAGATGGAAAACACTACACAGATACAGTGAGCAAGTTATAAATACGCATGCTTCGCAAAAAGCCACAAAATGTGTCATTTGCATGTTGGATTCGAAGAATTTAAATAAAATACACCATCAAATGGGGTTTTATACATAGATGGCAAATTAGTCACTATAACTAGTGATTCAACAACAGTAAATATCAATTTTTCAGTTCAACTGCCTTCAAAGATTGAGCATTTCATTAAATTAACTATAATAATACGTTGCTTATGCCTTTCATTAGTAATTGCTGTAATTGTGAAGAGTAATCCTATTTTACAAAACGCTTTAAGTCATTTTCACATTATGTTGGTAACTATAGTCAACAGCCAGCTTTTTCCTAAGTAATAAAATTTCCGCCCCACTGTGCGAATACTTGACACCAAAACGGAGAAATGAACAACGCCAAAAACAACAACGAAAGTGTGACAGCCACAAAACGCGCAATTACAGTTAACGGCAAAGTTAAAAAGTTAAAGAGAACGCAACCAGCAAAAAAGATAGAGGGAGCCGATGAATTTCTATGTGTAGAGAAACCGTCAAGAGGGGGCAGAAGGGCAGAGCGAAAGGGTCTCGTTTTCACTCCGCTCCACAAAGAGTTTCCCCAGTGGGGCGATGTCGGATGACGGGCGTCATTGTGCCGGGCGTCACATCCGCATGTGGCGTGACTGAATTTGTATTCTAGGGTACTCGTATTTCCGACCGCATCTGATTCACTTTTCATTGTTATGCATTGCAGCCAGAAAAACCGCAAAAAAGCAGTGACAAAATGACTTCCACCGAGCTGAAAATTGGCCTGACCACCAGTGCCCGTCCCTCCAGCCGAGTGCTGAAGCCACCAGGTGGCGGCCACACCAACATCTTCTCGGAGCCCGATGTGAACGTTCCCGCTCCTCGAGCCAAGTACAACCAACAGAACTCCTCGAACCTCAACGCCTGTATGGGCTCCACCGATCCCAACAAGGTGGTGGAGAAGATTCGCGAAGAAGTCACCACCCAGAAGGATGAAGCCAAGTCCGCCCCGCCCAGCCAGACGAAGGAGTCGGCGAACAAACAGGCGGCCACGAACGGAGAGGCTCGTGGCCGAGTCCCTCCTGGCGGATTCTCGTCGGGCGGATTCTGGTAGAGGGAGTGTGCCCTGGAGCAGAAGCAGCTGCCAAGCATTTAATGACTCACCATCACATCCTCAGACCGACATAAAAACATAAACCTATAAATATAAATCGCTTATAACATACTTATACACACATACTTAGAGGCGCATACCTATATTAATCTGCTGATCAGCCGGAGAAGGGAAACTCTGAATATATTTTGCAAGCAGCACTCCAAGTTGTTCTTCCTTTCGTCGTTTCATTTTCATCCCTCTCACTATGTCCTATCGTCTAAGTAAATCGTTTAACATGTCTAACGCAATTGTTGAAATTAAGTAACTCGTGATTCCGCCCCACAAACTTGGATTATATGGATTAACTTGCTAAACTCTACCACCTACTACCGAAGCCTAACTTAGCATTTGTACTTAAAGTGTCCAATCGAAACTACTTATAGTCTGTACAATTTGTCCAAATCGAATCCCTTATAACCATCGATGTATTATTCAAAAATAAAACATTTAATTATAAATTATCGGTCTTTTATTTATGCAAATTGGTGGAGATTCTTCGGAGTCCGCCTAGTAGCTAAACAGTACTCCTAACTTAGTGAGTCAGTGAAGACAGCTCGTTTTGGTCACGAAATTAATTCTAGTATTTATTACACTTCAGTTTAGAATTACAAGTGTCCATTAATTCATCGTCGATCTTTAAAGCGTATTACTATTTATATTAAATACAGCATCAAATGTATTTCAGTTACTCGACTTATCCCAACAGCCGCCAGATTGATATAATTAACAATTAAATGGATACATGCGCAAATGGGATATACATAATTCTTGATGTTTGAAGTGCTGTTCCTTGGCGCGGCGTTGTCGATCCGGATGCGTTTATTAACCATGCGGAGAGTGTCCATATGGTAGACTTAAGACTAGGGATTGTGTTTTTCTTGTTTTCTTTGTTAGGCTAATTCAGACTATTGGCTATTTAGATCTTCATGTCGTTGATGTACGAGTCCAGTTCGGCGTCCAGCTCCTCGGCAGTGGGTGGGGCCTTGCGCTCCCGTCGGGGGCCGGCTGCCGCCGGTTTGCCTCCGGCCGGACGTTTGAAGCTACCACGACGCGGAGCGCCACCAGCTTGACCACCTAAAAAACAGTTTGGAATGGCAGTGTAAGGATTGGAGCTAGGGATAGCCGTCAGGGACCGTAATCAAAATCATTCTTGGTTCCATTGCAGAAACAATTGTTTGAAAGCTGAGCTTTTGGGTCTGCAAGCATTCGCACAAATCTTTCAAGAGTGAATCTGAACTGTAAAATATGTACACAAGTTATGTTATACTGATCAATGAGAAGAAAAGTTTGAGTAAGTACACAAATAATAATAAATATTGTGTCAAGATGGTGAAGACTCAGTCCAGAGAATGAAGTATTTCGACCGGAAAGAATTTAATTAAAGTAACAAAAACCATTTGGGGTAAAAGTGAAAATAACAATAAATAATAAATAAAATCTTTATCTTTAAAATTCATTGTTATCGATATAAATATGCATTTAAAAATCTTTGTGGAAGTGCATAGATCCAAAAATGATCTGAAATGGTTTTGAATGAATGATGTTTGAGGTAAAAAAAAAGAACGAATATGGGCATTATTCACGGTCCCTGGTAAAATATTCGGATACGCACCACCACGCTTGAATGGAGCAGATGCGCCACTACCCACACGACGCTTGACATCGGTGGAGGCTACGGGACGGGTCAAAGCGGTAACGTCGGAGACGGCCAGCTGAATGGTCATAGGGCGTCCGTCCAAAGGCACGCCATGGTACTGCTTAATGGCCTTCATAGCATCGGCGCGACGCTCGAATATAACATCTGCGGTGCCTGCAACGGAAAGCGGAAAACATTAAATGGTGATCGGTCAACGATTTCTGTTCTATCCAAAATTCGTATTTCATTTGTAATAGTCAAAATAAATGCGAAAACTATTGATGAAAAAACTTACCCAATGAGCGACCTGAGCGATCATAGTGCACTGCCGCCTTCTTCATCGGCCCGAAGTCGTTGAAGAGCTCCTTGATGTCCGTGTTGGAGACGCCGTAGTCCAGGTTGCCGACGATGAGGCGGGTGGGCCCGGATCCGCCGCCGACGGCTCCCCTCTTCGGTCCGTCGTACATATCGTGCTTCCAAGCGCTGTTCACATCGCCCTAGAGGGGTAGTATTAGGTAGAAGGTAGATGGGTATGTCTGTTGTTGGTTCGAACGCGAGGCGTATCGACTATATGTATTTGGCGGGAGTAGCCGTGGCAGTAGCAGGTGCATCGTATCCTAGCCTCAAGAGGACAGCCATACCGAGCGGAGACACTAGAAATGCTTGTTAACTGGGTAGGGTTCACGGGGAAAACGTGAGACGAGGGGGGAAATAAGTTAAGGCACAGGATTCGTTTGTTTTCGTACACTGTAAGAACGGGGTTAAAGGAGCTTGAGGCTTGGCTTGGGCTCGAAGAATTGTTCCGTCCGTAGGAAGGCGCAGGGTGGCCATTTTGATTTTGCTTCCCTTCCTTGTACTTTTACTTGCACTGTTGTACTGATGTACTGGTGTGTGTGGGTCATGGCTCGCAAGACACTTGCTTGGTAATATTGTCCTGGTGAGCTGAACACAGGGATATTCTGCTCCGGCTGCTCCGTTTGGCCATTGAAACGCATTGAATTACCCGTGGGAACTTTGCCTTCTGAACGGCTCCACCGGCCACTCCTCCTCGGGGGCCCTTGAGCGCGCTCCCTGGCTTCCTGGGCGATCCGCTGGCACTGGCGCCACCGCGACGAGCTCCGCCGGCAAAACGCTGCTGGCCGCCCGGCCTCCGTGCGCCACCGGGACCTCCGCGGGCGGCTTGCGGCTTTTTTTGCGAGCGAGTGGACTTGATGATGTCGTCGAGGCTCATTTCAATTTTGTCCACCATCCTGCTGATTGCGTGTTTTTCTGACGTCTGTGGAGATCTTTGAAGTGCGTGGAAAGGATGACTATCTGCTGGCTACCGAAAGTTGCGTTGAGAATTGTGTTCGGTTAAAGAAGCGCGTGGAATTTCACAAAACCCTGCAAAAACGACGCACGAAAAATTACAAAGTCGCCATCTTGGATCTGGGAAAAAAGTGTTGAGCAACGCCGTGCGTCAAGGTAGCGTCGATCGGCCACCAACGAAATGAAACAGTGGAATCGGGTACATGGATGGATTTTTATTTTTTAATTAAGAAGGTAACATTTAAAAACAAGTTATATTAAAAAAAAGCTTTAAAAACACACAGTGTTTTTTTGAGCCTTGCTTAAAATGGAATTCTGTTCCTTACACCGTAATTATAAATAATCTATGCCTCCTATTTTTTGCATACTTAAATATTACTTGCAAGTTTTTATTTCATAAATATATGCATTTTAATAGTTTTTAAAAGTTAATAGCAGCTCCAGTAAACTGATGTATGTTTTAAACAATTTGTACATTTAGTGTTTAAATTTATTTACAGTTTTCACCGGAATGGCCACTGTGCCTAGACACTTTAGTATTTTTAACAACGGTTGTTTAGATTGAGTTAGCCTTGGTCACTCTGCACATTTAGAAAAAATAAACGAATAACGATAAAAAACATTCCAGTCCCTCCCCGAACTAATTTAACTGCCGTAAATAATGTTTATTGTGGCGGTAACTGGTGGCATTGCCACGGGAAAGAGCACCGTCAGCAAGGTGTTCGAACGCCAGGGCATTCCAGTCATCGACGCCGACAAAATCGCCAGGGAGAGTGAGTTCAAAAAGTGGAGCACATCCGCTTTGTGCTCCGTAATTAACGACCATTTCCGCTAATTGTCTGTACCTAATCGCGCAGTTGTGGAACCAGGTCAGCCGTGCTGGAAGCAGATTCGGGAGGTCTTCGGAGATGAAGTCCTACTGCCCAGCAAGGAGATCAACCGCGCCGTCCTGGGCAAGATGATCTTCGAGGACAAGGAGCTACGCGGAAAGCTGAACAAGATCACCCATCCGACCATCCATCGCAAGATCTTCTGGCAGGTGTGCAAATTGCTGGTCACGGGACATGCGTGGATCGTCCTGGACCTGCCCCTGCTCTTCGAGACCGGTGTCCTGATGGACTTCATACACAAGATCGTCTGTGTATCGTGGTAGGCTGGGTTCCTTTTGGGGTTTCGCATGGGAGTAGTGGAAGGGGTAGAAAAGTGAAAGCATTTAATCCTTTTAATTTCGATATTATAAAGATTATCCTCATCTTCACATTCCAGCGATTCGGACAAGCAGCTTGAGAGATTGATAGCCCGCAATGAGCTCTCCGAATCCGAGGCGCGGCATCGCGTGGACTCGCAAATGCCGCTGGACAAGAAGTGCGAAAAGTCTCACTTCGTTATCGACAACAACGGCAGCGTGGAGGAGGCGGAGAACTCTGCCATGAGCATTTACAACATGATGCGCGACTCCAAGCAACACTGGCTCAACCGCATAAGCTTCCTGGGGCTGTTCCTAATCGTGGGCTTCACAATATACATGCTGCTGAAGGTGTTCAACCGGATGCCCGAGTCCTGGCAGATGTAGTCCGTTCAAATGCGTGCCATACGACGCTATCTTACGTGTTAATGCAATTGAAACCAAACCAATTATACAATCTAAACGCTTGTTAGTGAAATATACAAAAGTCACTTATACTTGTATTGTGTATTGTATATTGTCGAGACGTGCCAAACGCCCAAAATACAATCAGTCGAAACCCGAATTAGTCTCTCGCACACACAAAGCATAAACCAGCGACGGAAGTGAGATTGGATGGAGGACGGTGATCAGGAATTAAGTACTGCGCTGGCGCCAATTGGTCGACGGCTCCTCCAGCAGCTCAGCTGTCTGCTGGCAGTAGTCCACAAACGTTTGCAGTCCGTATTTGGTGACCGCTTTGGTCACGTTGTGGTTCAGCTGTATGGGATCCTGGACCACCATCGGTTTTCGTAGCTGGAGCAGACAGTCAGGGTTCTCCAAAACATATGCGGAATACCTAAAAAAAATAGCGATCAATTATAAGTCAAGATTTGAAAATTTAGTTGATTAACTATTTACAGTATGCTGACAACTTCTGATCATAAAAACTAATGGCAAGTTACGTTCTTCCTTCTAATTATCACTATTCTGAAATCATAAATCTTACCTAGTAGGCAGTATATTCTCAATGCTTTGTATCTCTGCTCCGGCCTGGCCGAAATATGGGCAGACCAAGAAATGCTCATAGTCAAATCTGGCATAGTACAAAAAGAACGACCGAAGATAGCCCTTCACCACGGGGACAGTCACTACTACTTGCTGCAGTCCCAGCTCGCTGGGCGATTTCTGTGCGAAGTTGACAACCCACGCTGAAATGAAAAAATAATCTGGTGAATCCCCCTAAAAATGGCACAGTTAAACTTACGTCCCACGAGCACGCCCTGATTGACTGACTCGTCTATTTGCAGCAAGGCTATGGGCGGCAGCAGGTGCTGAAGCTGCAGGAAGTAGATTACCATCAGGGTAATGCTGTACGTCGATATCTGTTCTGTCAGCTTGCAGCGCTCCAGCCAGTTCTTAACATATATGCACATATATTGAGCTGCAGCAAAAACAAAGAGATTATGTGGACTTTGGTCTAACGTTTCTGCTTACTCAGTGGCTGCGATTCGAATATGTATTTCAGCAGATTTGTGTTGCAGAAGCCCAAACTGTTCAGGCAAATATCGCACTCGATGCCAGTGGGCAAATGGCATGTCTTGATGATGGGAACACGGGCCTGCTCAATGACCTGCGAAAGAACATACAGATTGTAATTATGGATCCCTTAGCTAGAGTATTCCTCACATTAATAATGCGCCAGTCGTCGCTGCCGCAGAAGAACTTTCGCATCGCCCGCAGCTTGGTGATGGTCGTATTGGAAGCACGGTGTTCAAAGGTGTGAAAGGTGTTGCCTGTCAATCCGAAAGTCAAGATACAAAGGCTCGCTTTGCGACCAGAGATTCTACTTACCAATATCCACAAAAACATCGAGATCCGAGGACCGGGAACCAATGCCGGTAATGCGAGAGCCAAACTTGTAGACGCGCAGCGGTTGCTTGGGAAAGCCCGGAGATAACAGATTGCAGAGGGCCTGTTCGATGATGTCGTACTCGGGAATCACCTTCAACTTGTCCGCTATGGGGTACTTGTCCTTAAACACATTCGTGATCTCGCCCACAATCATTGCCTTAGCCTCTGAAATAGACAACGTGACAGGGTTAGCCGAGCAAGAATTATTTCGAAGAATGTTTTAGATGGCGAGCTCCAAGAGTTTACCCATTTCTATTTGAATGATGCGAAACCCTTTTTTCATACGAACTTTTCAGCTTAGCTGACAAGACAAATTCTATTTTAAATGCAGTTATGTTCTCGGACTATAGTGACATCTGTCAGACCAGAACCGATTTTACCTTCTGGTTTTCACATTAAGCATTAGAAGTATCGAAAACCCAGATATGGTTTACTTATGTCATGTTATAATGAAATAGTGACCTACTCTTGGGCAGCCGAACCGCCATTTGTTGACGGGCCTTCGCCGGGGCCTGCTTCTTCTCCTGCTTGGACAGGGGTGCCGGCTGTGGCTGGACTGGCTGATTGTTGGGATTGGGGTTGGGGTGCTGCTCCGAAAGGTGGGCCACCGCCTTTGCGATGGAGGTGCCCACGATGCGGTTGCTGCAGGCACTGCAGTTGAAGGTGCGCTTGATCGTCTGCAGTTCCTTGGGCTGGACGAAGACCACACCCTCGCCCGGGGCGGCCTTTTCCTGGGGCAGAACGTAGGTGGGATTCCTGTCCATGTAGGTCTCGATGCCCACCATAATACGCTCCAGCAGCTTGGCCAGGTGCGGATCCAGCTGCGGCGGATTGGCCTTCTGGTTCACCGAGTTCAGGGTCTCGAGGAAAAAGTTGGCCTCCATGGTCAGCGGATTCATCTGCAAGATCGCCGGGCTTTAGGCCGGAAATGGCAAGGCACCATACTCACGTAAAGCAGCTTGTTTGGCGGCTCCTTCTCGGCCATCGTCTTGTTTTTCTTCTTGGCCTTCTTCGAGGGGGCGGCGATGTTGGGGGCGGCTATGGTCGGCGCGCAGGCAGGCGTTTTCAGGGGAGCGGGGCCGGGAAGCTGAAAGGTGATCTGAATGCGTGAGCTCTCGCCGCCTTTGTTTGGCTGCCAACAGAAATGTTGATTCGAATAATCGAACCAGCTGATTTTCTCAGGGTAGCCACCTACGAACGAAGCTTGCCGGCTGGTCAAGCGAGCGATTGCTTGAGCAACCAAACCACATCGCGACATACATATATGAGTGTATAGTTGTCGCGCGTTCAATAGAAATAAATGCGATCGGAGGCTCCGGCCCTTCCGTTAAAAAGTTCCCGCCACAAAAACGATTATTGCGAAATTGGCCGAATTCTGCGAAGGTCAGCTCCTACTCACACTGGTTTTCCGCCTACTGAGCGTCTCGTAGTACTGCCTTTCTGCACTGCAGCAGACCGCCTTTTCCAGCCAGAAAGAATCATCTGCCTCGATTCGCATTGTGAATGTGTCTGAGAGACTGCCTTTGAATAATTGTTGCGCTATAATTAATCGCTAGCGTTAAAAACAGCGTTGAAAACACGTTCAGGGCAAAAACACAAAAACAAGTAGGGATGGCACAGAAAACCATCGGGGGTGTGTGTACGTGCTATGTTGGTCGCCCTAGTACTCAGATCGGCTAAGAGTTTCACTAGTCGAAAAATCTTGTTCTTTGTAGTGTGACCGAAGTTCTCAAAGTTCACCCGCCAAGCATGTGGCATGGTCTTACTGTCAAGCAGCTGGGTTTGTTGACAAACGGAAAACAAATCAAATGGAACAATTTAAAAAAGAAGACTCTGCTGGTGCACAAAGATATTAAAATAAAAACAAGGAAGAACGCTATAGTCGAGTACCTCGACTATCAGATACCCGTTACTCAGCTATATGGAGATATGCAAGCAGCAAAGCGAGATTAAAATGCGCCACCTACCGGCGGTATACAGATTTAAGCGTTATGGGCGTTAGAGTGGGCGTGGCAAATTTTTTTTTGGGTCAATCGATAGGTATTGATGAGAACAATACATTTCAGTTAAAATTTTTATTCTAGCATCAAAACTGTAGGAGCCACAGTTTTGGGCGGTTTGTGGGCGTTAGAGTGGGCGTGGCAGTCTACTGAAACAAACTTGCGCTGCGTAAGAAGCTCAGGAATCTGTACGCCAAATCTCAATAGCCTATCTCTCATAGTTTCCGAGATCTCAGCGTTCATCCGGACAGACAGACGGACAGACGGACATGGCTAGATCGACTCGGCTAGTGATCCTGATCAAGAATATATATACTTTATGGGGTCGGAAACGCTTCCTTCTGCCTGTTACATACTTTCCGACGAATCTAGTATACCCTTTTACTCTACGAGTAACGGGTATAATAAACGAAATGTTCAACGAATGTTTTTATTTATGTAAATGAGAAGTTTAAGGCTTCCTTCTCGTCCCACGGATGCTTCGCCATCTTTTCCGCGCCACCTGTAGTCCAGCTCCGAGTCCCAATAGGCTGGCCAATAATGGCTGGTGATGGCTCCTCCAGCTGTCCCTTAGCGGGCGACCTTATTTTCTCCTCCCTACAGAAGCCGGCGCGTCCTCCAACTCCGCCTTAGCTGTCAAGTAGCTGGTGGAGGTGGAGTCCTCAATGGAGAGCTGGTCGGAGATCGAACGATGTCCCATATTCCTTCACACTGGGATTCTTTAGTGGATCTCCTCCATCGCTTCAACTATTCTGCGGACTTGGCACGTTGTGGTATTGCTTTCTGTCGGTCAAGTCCCACAACAATGGGCAACAGCTTGGATAGACGACCTTTTTCATCCCTTAGCCGTTTTTGGTGTTTTTCTTCCATTTTTAATTTTAAAATTCCCCACCGCTTCTGCACGAACACCGCCAAAGATTACATTTTTTATTCTTTGGGCCAGCGGCGTTCATCGAAAATTCACTCGCGAAATCTGGTATTTTTTCTGGTATTTCCACGCTCATCTGAGTACCGCGCTGAAAAACAGACCCGACGAAAACCTTTAGCCGCCTGTTTGCCTCTCGCTCACTCCTATGGTTAGCTCACGGTTTTCGTCGATGTGAGTACTAGGCTTTAAAACGTTGCGAGGGGGACACGGCTAAGTTAGCAAGGACATCATTTCAACGTTTTGGTGAACCGGTTATAGTTAGAGTCCGCGCTAAATCAGCTGGTGTGACCATTCGACAACCGCTGCGAAATGTAGAAAACAAAAATACCAGCTGATGCAAGTTGTCAAACCAGAGAGAACCAGGGTGTCAGCGGGGCACTGAACTGAACTAGTTTCGAGTGTCAACAAAACGCAAGCCACCGTAAGTGTCAATAAAAAAGGGATAGACTAAGCGCAAGTGTCAGTGGAAAAGGGAGACGGAAAATTCGAACGTACACAAGGCAAAAACACAAAAACAAGTAGCCCTGCAAGCATTTTCTATCGCGCAAGGCACTATTAAGTGACTTCAAGAAGATGAAAACGATCGTCCGCGATATCGCATTCGGATCGCGGAAGTGACTCCCGTCGGGAAAAAATGTGCCTCTTCGGCGACACTTCTCGAAGTCACTTCTGCGTTACTTCTGGAAGTGTCGCCGAAGTCACTTCTGGAAGTCACTCCGAAGTGACTTTACATTTGCTTGTAGAAGATATCTAGAAGTCTTTCCCAATTGGAAAAACTTGAATAAAAACATATTTTTTTATACTTTCAATATTTTGCATTTATTTTGTGTATAAGGGCTTTGTCCGCTTGTATACACGGTCACTGGCATGGAAATGCCAATGTTATTTAGGTCCAGCTCCGTCGACATAATAAATTTATTAATAACCATTTCTAAAAGAAACAGAAACAAAAGTAAAAATAAAGTAGAAAAAAAAAATAAACTAAAACAATGAAATATGTTGAGAATCGTTGGATCCGCAATTACATGCCAAGTAATGTCCACAGCTAGCTTGTCCGTAAATAGCTTTCAATAACCGTACAGCTCACGATAAGCACGTAATTTCGCACCCTTTGTTGAGGGGGATATTTAAATATGTTAAGCAATTAATAACATTTAGAAAAAAACAAAGTAATATTTTTAAAACGCACAAAATTGATACAAAACCGCACTGTACACAGACAAATCGCGCAACGAAATGACGCTCGGGGGAAAAAAAATAATAGGAAGACCAAAAAATTTTCAGAAAAAAAGGGGTAACGGAAAATTACCGAGACCTCTTTTTATGGCTTGTTTTTTTCCATTAACTTTGTTTTTGTTAAATGTGTACTATCGTCTTTCTATCGCGCAGAAGTGTCTCATAAGTTACTTCTTCGCGATCCCGACCCTTTTTGTTTTTGTAAAATGTGTAGTATCGCCTTTCTATCGTTCAGAAGTGACTTAGAAGTGACTTCTACGCGTTATATGTATGTTTTGTTTTTGTAAAATGTGTTCTATCGCCGTTTTATCGCGCCGAAGTGTCTCAGAAGTTACATCTTCGCGGTCGCGACCCTTTTTGTTTTTTAAAATGTGTACTATCATCTTTCTATCGTCCAGAAGTTACTTCTAAGCGACACATGTATATTTTGTTTTTGTAAAATGTGTACTATCGTCTTTCTATCGCGCTGAAGTGACTCCTGGACGACAGGCGATAGAAATATCGCCCTTTTGCTTGCAGGGAGGGATGGCACAGAAAACCATCGGTGGGTGTGTGTACGCGCTATGTACGCTGCGAAATGTAGAAAACAAAAATACCACACTATCGAGTTAAAAAATTCCACGATATAAGTATTTATTTTTATTCAAAAAATATCGGTATATCGTAAGCCACCGTAAGTGTCAGTGAAAAAGGGAGATAGCCTCAGCGTAAGTGTCAGTGGAAAAGGGAGATGGAAGATGCGAACGTACACAAGGCAAAAACACAAAAACAAGTAGGGATGGCACAGAAAACCATCGGTGGGTGTGTGTACGTAGAATGTAGAATGTAGAAAATAAAAACACCCCACTATCGATTGAAAAAATTTCACGAATTAAGTATTTATTTTTATTCAAAAATATCGGTATAGACTTCGAGATATTTTTCACATCCGGACCTGGCCATCCAGCCCCAGCACCTATATAAAGCAGCCCGCGCCCGGCAGTTCATATCCGATTTACGTTTGTCAAGCCTCATAGCCGGCAATTCGAACGTATTCGCTCTCAGAGTCAGACCTCGATACCGTAGCTCTACACATTTTCTGTGAATTTTCCTTGTCGCGTGTGAAAAACCCCCACTAAAAACTCAATATGGTGAGTACATTTCTGTGAAAAAAAGTAGCGTAGAAAGTAAGGGGCATAATTTAATGGGCGAACAAAGCGAAGCGGTTTTTTTTTCTACTCAAAATGGCGGCCGGTCTGCATTTTTTCTCTAAAAGTGATGACGTCATGTTTTTTTTTGCAAAGAGAAAACGCCGTGGAAAGCTATAGAAAATTTACGTATAATAAGGGAACAAAGTGAAAAGCGGTAAATGCTATGCGGAGAAAATTAAGAATGTAAAGGGGATTTCAAATACATTTCCTATACTTCAGTCAAAAAAAGCAAAGAATTTTCATACAAAATAGACGGAACATGAACATAATTTTGTATTGAGATTGTAATTTCCTTGCCTTCTTGATTAGAAAGTCTATTTAAAAATTTGACGCATAACTGTAGATTATTAAGAGAAAATGGCGACTGAGTAAAATTCCGGCATCGGCAAAGTAGAGCGAAGCAGCAAAAAATTCTCTATACCATATAGCTATATAGCTATCTCGCTCGCACACAGGGCCGGCTCAAGTTGGGCGCGGCTCTGCGGCTATCGATTTTCTTGGGGCGTGGAATTAATCATCTTTTCCCTCCTCCCTTTCGCCCACAGCGTGAATGTATCTCTATCCATGTCGGCCAGGCTGGTGTCCAGATTGGAAACGCCTGCTGGGAGCTGTACTGCCTGGAGCACGGCATCCAGCCCGATGGCCAGATGCCCTCCGACAAGACCGTGGGCGGAGGTGATGACTCGTTCAACACCTTCTTCAGCGAGACCGGAGCCGGCAAGCACGTGCCCCGTGCCGTGTTCGTGGATCTGGAGCCCACCGTGGTGGACGAGGTCCGTACCGGAACCTACCGTCAGCTGTTCCACCCCGAGCAGTTGATCACCGGCAAGGAGGATGCGGCGAACAACTACGCCCGTGGTCACTACACCATCGGCAAGGAGATCGTCGATCTGGTCCTGGACAGGATCCGCAAGCTGGCCGATCAGTGCACCGGTCTGCAGGGCTTCCTCATCTTCCACTCCTTCGGTGGAGGTACCGGCTCTGGCTTCACCTCGCTGCTGATGGAGCGTCTCTCCGTGGACTACGGCAAGAAGTCCAAGCTGGAGTTCGCCATCTACCCAGCCCCCCAGGTGTCCACTGCCGTGGTCGAGCCCTACAACTCGATCCTGACCACGCACACCACCCTGGAGCACTCTGACTGCGCATTCATGGTCGACAACGAGGCTATCTACGACATTTGCCGCCGCAACCTGGACATTGAGCGCCCCACGTACACCAACCTGAACCGTCTGATCGGCCAGATCGTGTCCTCGATCACCGCCTCCCTGCGGTTCGATGGTGCCCTCAACGTG